CAGCAGGAAATGCTTCGGGGGCAGTGACAGAAGAACTCATTTTGATGGGTTCAGGAGTACTGGATAAAGTCTTCTGCTGGGAGATAAGGTTCTCTCCCAGGGGTTTGGCAGGGGTAGAAGACTCATTCTTCTGTGGGGAGAGAGGTTCTTCAGATACAGAAGGAGACTTTCTTTGTGGATGCACCATTCTTTCACTCATGGAAGAACTAGAAATTGGAGATGTGTCTGAAGGAAGCGGCAAACTAGGTACAAAAGTGGCATCAGAGGTGAGAAGCATGGAAGACACAGAAGACGTTTCTGATGCCAAAGGTAAGTCAGACATTGGTGATGTTTCTGATGTTAAAGGTAAGTTGGAAACTGGAGATGCTTCAGATGTTAATGGTAAGTTAGACATCAGAGAGGCTTCTGATATTTCAGGTGAAGTGGATATTGGAGATATTTCTGATATCAAAGATGCATGAAGGTTTTCATCAGTGGGGTTCCTCTGATTATATTTGTCATTATTTTCAGTGCTGGACACTTCAGAGCAAAAGGTTGTCTCAAGGGAGGCGGGAGTACATGATTCTTCTGACGTGGACTGGGTTTCCCCTCCTGGAGATGCCAGGCTGGTACAGGCTCCCTCTGGGCTCTCCGAAGAAAAGGAAGTTTCAGAGATACAAGCATTTTCAGAAAGCTGTTCATCGGGATCACTCTGCAGCTCCATGTCTACAGCAATTTCTTCACTTGGAAACTGGCCTTCTAGAGAAGGTGAGCCTGTTTTTATTTCTGGACAATTGGTCTCTATTGCAGTTTCTGGCTCCTTGTGTTCTGTGTCACTGACGTGAGTCACAGTTGAAGTGGAAGGGATGAGAGAGTCACAGAGTTCTACTTGATCAATAACAACTGACATTTCTTCCTGGGAACTTTCTGATTTCTCTTCTACCTTAATTTCAATATGAGGCAAACTTTCTAAAACATCATTCATCATAACACACGACTCTAAGTGATCTTCAGGAGGTGCTACTTGGGGCTCTTTGTGAGAGGTGGCTGGACTTTCAGACTGCTCAGAAAATTCATGTATTGTCCTATGGTTTTCATCCTGGCATTCACAGATGCTAGTCTCTACCTCTTCTGCAATTTCCTCTTGAATCACAGATTCTTCAGGGATCAAGATATCCTCTGATTCTGATTCTGCCATTATATCTTTAGCTGGAACCTCTACCATAGGACAAAGTGTAGTACAGAAATCGGGCTCTGGGGATGCTGGGCTTTTTATGCTTTTTGGCTGTTGTTCTTCCAAGGGGACCTGTGCAGAAGAACCCGGGAGACCAGAGGTCCCACAGGAGGAACTACCCTCAGCTCCGTCTTTGTTTGGTCCGGAAGTGAGCTTCATAGATTCCTCTCGTGACATACCCAACCTGAACAGAAATAAGAGATATTAAGCTATTGTTCAAATATAAAACATGAAAGGTCTAAGTTGTGTCTCCACAAATATATCTTTTAATTGAAGTAAATGTATCAAATTGATCCTATGATGACTAATGTACTTAACTTACAGAAATTAGTTTATGATGATATAATTTCTCTACTGCTTTTAGAGTCATAGCTAAAATAAGCTCTACTTCTGGTTAAGAATGGTATGGACTTTTTTTTTTTCATAAGCCAGGAGATAGGAATCTCCTCAAGTGTTATTAAAAGGGATAAGATAATTCAATACAACAAAATGCTTCACTATTTTAGCTTAAAAGCAAAATAATACAAAGATCTAAATTTTTAAAAATCAAAAAGTCAGAAAGTGCCTTTTTATTAGAAAATTATGTAGTCATCAGAACGAAATAATTAAGATCAATGGACTATGAATAAAATTAATCAAATTTTAAAATTGAAGTGACATCTAAATATTGAGTAGTGCTACTTAGATTAGTCTAAGAGTCCCAACCACCTTATTTGGTAGTGCCTAAGTATTTCATCTAAGATGATATGGAAATTACACTCAAGCATAATAAAATATGCTCGAGGTTATCCAAGATATTCTTTCGGCTTAGATATGCGATGTAAGGCTTTTACAGTTTTTTTGCAGCTCTTTTACTGTAAAGATATGGCATGCAAAATACTAGAGAAAAATCAAGAAATAATCCAGCTGTATGTTCAGGTTTTCGGGCAAAGCTAATCAGAATTATAATCGAGGATACTGTAAATCACTATTTTCTGTCACATTAAGTTACAATGTCAGCATCAGATGGTAGAGAAATATGCTGTTCTAAATGAAGTTAAATTAGGGTACAGGCAAAGACAGAAATAAGCAGAAGAGAGAGCATTGCCAGAGAAAGACACACATTTTAGTGAAGAAACATAGCTATCACAATATCTGTGCTAGAATATATCTCAGTAAAACCTACTCTAACACTTTACTTAAATCATTGAAGTGAAAGGGAACTATAGCTGAATACACCTTTTGAGTATTTGGTCATTGTCTTCTTAAATTCAGAAGGCTCTGAAAAGAAGATGGAAGATACTGCCTTCAGTCTCCCTCCTTTCAATTTTCCCTAAAATGGGTTCAAGCTAAGCTATAATTTATTATTTTCCTATACTGAAAAGAGCAGAACAACTAAATTATGCTAAACTTAAAGCAGAATAATTAGCTATAATAAGGTTCTTTGGGACCAGCTCAAGCAAGGTATCAGTGATAAATAAGTATATAACATACAGAAATCTATCTACCAGCAGCCAAATTTCTGGTAGTACATTAATAGCAATATTATTGAATATACATATAAATATGAATGTGCATACATAAAACAGTACTGTAGAAAATATGCCTCTGTCAACATTTTATTATTTACATGATAAAATAGACTTACAATGGCACAAGGCATAGAAGGAAAATGTTCACAGAATACCCTGTACAACCCAAAGAAAAATCCTGACCTCCAGAAATCTGGACCACAAATTCCCAGACCAAGCCCTGTATTTCTTGAGTTAGTAGATATACAGGTGATCTTTAAGTAACTAAAAGAAACACAGAACAGCACTGTATTATAAGCAGATTAAGCCAACAAGAATCATAACAGATATCTAAACCAAACAGAGAATTAAATCAGACAGGTTTTAACCAGAAACAAGTCTGGATGGCAACATTCTTGGGAAAAAGAGGAATGAATAGGGCCATGGCATCAGTCAACTGAAAACTGTCGTGCTAAGAGAAAAATCTCTTATACATGAGGGGAATTTAGGTAGTCCAGAAATAACAAAATGAGGAGAGGGACCAGCAGTTGACATAATGGCTATATCGCTGGACTCCCATGTAGTCGACCACAGTTCAAGTCCCGGACCCGGTGGCTTAAACTCACCACGTGTGCGTGTGCATGTGTGCTCAAAATCCCAGGAGGAAAATGGAGGAGAAGGGATTCTGGTGTGGCCATCCCCATTAGGGGGTGATTTCTTGCCTTCTTTTTCTGGGTCTCTCTCTCTGTCTTTCCGGCAAGTGCATGTGCCCTATAGCAAAAACTTCTTAAAAAAAAAGAAAAAGAGTAAAAACAAAATGAGGAGAGTCAATGGAATGTCCAAAATATATCTATCATCCAGTACATAATCAAAGATAGAAAAGAATAAAATAAAATCCAGTGCTCTGAGGGAGGATAAAAATTATCAATAAACAACAGAAAATAAAAGAGTCCAGAAGAAGAACATTTTGTATTTAGAAGTTGGTGATGGTGATGGGAGTCATGTTTAATCATAGAAATATATCTGTCATCACCTAGGGTGGTGGTCCTTAACCTAAAATTCATGGGAGCCTGTCAGGTCCCCAGATTCCATGCCCCCCTTCCCCCAAAAAAGAAAAATGTTCATGTGTGTGACTAAAGACTGAGCAAATTACCTAACTTCACTGTAAAACCTAAGGAAATTATTTCATTTCATTTTCTCTCAGTTTCCTAATCTTTAAAAATAAGAACAACCCACCTTATAGTATTTTTAGGAACATGAAATGAAGCATTTACACTGCTCTTAGACACGCAATGGAGCCAGAGCATGCTCAGTGAGGATATGCTGAAGGGAGGAAGGCTTTGGACTCCCTGTGATGTATGCTCTCGGGGAGCAAAAACTAGAAACCCAACAGATGACTGTGCCCCTGACACCTAAAATAGTGCCTAGAGCCAAACAGAAGCTGGAGAAATACGCTAAATTAATGAAAGAATGGGTCCACCTCTCAACATACACTAAGAACTGCTTTGGAGGTAACTAACTCAGTTATGTTTCTGGCATTACTGAAAAGAGTTCTCCTCTCTTGAACTCCTAGAGATTCACACTCAGTACGCGTTTGGGTAAGTCCAGGGAACTTGTATCTGTTTTTGAAGACTCCAATAAGAGTTTTGATGCAGCCTGGGCTGTGTAACCCTGCTGGTGACAATATGTGAAGATATATAACTAGCTTACCACATTTTTAATTTTTGAGAAAAGACACAGATTATCTCTATTTAGTTTTCCCTAAATATGTCTATGTATCCAGGAATCCTAGCATAGCAGTTAAAAGCAGGCCTTCCTTCTTGAGAGTACTGCTGTTAGGGATAATTCATCGAAGCTACCACTCTGAGCAAGTAGTCTGTTAATCTTCTTTTCACAAAGAGCTCTCACACAAGGGTCCTCCTTGCATACTTGTTACCACTAATAGCAGAAATTTTGTGAAACAAGACCAAATGACACAGGTATTGTTACCTGCAACCATCCATGTCTTTCACAGAAAAGAACAACTTTCAAACCTTCATTGTGTATCTGAGAGTCAAAGAACAAATCTTTCCTCTAAGGAGGATCTGAAGTTACTATCAGTATCAAAATTCCTAAAAGTCTCTTTTCTGAATTTTAGTTGTATGAGACACTAATTCTTACAAAGTTGAATATGTCTCTGCTGAATGTGATGCAAAGGTGAAACCATTTTCAGGTTAGTTCAGTCACTACCACGTTTATATGTAGCTGGTATTGCTTAAAAAAAGAAACATTTGGGGCCAGCAGGTGGCATGGTAGTAAAGGCACTGGACCCCCACATGGCCAGTCGTTACAAGCCCCAAACATAACAGCTTGAAAATCATGCCAGACACGTGTGTGCACGTGCCCAAAATCCCAGAAGAATGCAGGAAAAGAGATTGTATTGTGGCGATCCCTCTGGGAGGTGATTTATCACTTTCCCTGTCTATGTCTCTCTCCTCTGTGTGAACACACACACCCTATGGCAAAAACCTTAAAACATACCACCCACCCACACACACACACACCCACACACACACACACACACACACACACACACACACACAATAATAAATTAAAAACAGCTTACACTTGACAACGAAGATGGATAAAGTAAAGGATCTCCCAGAAGCTTCCCTCCAAAACAAGGATTACATAAAGATTAAAATGCATATGCACAGTCAGGACCAGTAGATGGTGTAATGGTTACGTTGTTGGACTCCCACGTAGTCCACCACAGTTTGAGTATGGGACCTGGTGACTTAAAACTCATGCCCATCTCATGTAGGTGCATGTCCAAGATCCCAAGAAAAGAACAGAGAAGGGATTGTGGCATGGCCATTCCCCCTAGGAGGTGATATCTCGCTTTCTATCTCTCTATTCCTCTCTCTCTTTCTGGTGAGAGCACATGCCCTACAGCCAAAAAAAAAAAAAAAAAGAAAAGAAAGAAAGAAAGAAAAGAAAAAAAGAAAAAAATCTCTCTAAAAATACAAATGTATATGCATAGTCAAAATTTTGGTGAAGAACTGAAAAATAAGCATCTAAAAATACTTAACTCCAAGTATTCATTAATGAAAATACTTGGAAAGAAAACAGAAGAATTTTACTAAAATCTACTTAAGGAAACCAAAATTGACTTCTATAGGATTTCATGTGCTATTTTCAGTCTGAAATAAATTTTCATGAACAAGTTATAAACCCTTGAAAATGCATTTTTTTAAATTTAAGGGCTGATATGCCACTATAATTTTACCCGCAATTTCTTACACCAAGGGACTATTGCCTTTTATCACAGGTTTATTAAGTTTTACAGCATATGAGTGTGCTATGTGAAGCAGAGAATTACATTTTCATTTCCTTCCAAGAGAAATGAGAAAAAATGTTCTAGTACTTACTTTTCTCCATAAAACCTCTCAAAGAATTTTTCTTTCCAAGGTTCTGTTTTCTTTTCTTTCTCAATTTCTTGTCTTATCCGCAATTGCATTTCTGGGGTAAATTCTCCTGGAAAGAAAGTGCTAATATATTGAGTAAAAGTGGTCACATCTTTTACCAATTAACAAAGAAAATATGTCACTCATTTGAGTACACTTTTATGGATGTTGAAATGTAAAATGATGAATTATAATACCGTTTCTACAGCTTCTTTGTTTATGAACATCACTCAAATAGTCATTTCACCATGCATGAACTCTAAAACATTTAGCCAATGGATCACATATTAGGGGCTGCAAATAAAAAAGCATCTATTCACTGTTCCTATGGAAACCAACATGGTGGAAACAAGTAAATAACTGGCTATAATATAAGGTCAGAAACCCTGTACAGGACAGGAGAATAAATGGAGTGACAGCAGAGAAGGGAAAACACTAAATTCAGCCCAAGTCAATTAAAGAAGAACACATACAGGAGTGCAATCTTGGTCAGGCCTTCATAAAGTGATTAGATCACAAGATACAGAGATTTGAATATGTATATTTATATTCTTTTGAGTAGCCAATTGGTGAGTAAAGCATAGGATTAAATGAAAATAAAAAGGCTGAGCCCAGTTACCCACTGTGTGTTCTGGAGAGTGTTCATTATTACTGGTGGTATTACTTGAGAAGAAAATGATCATATAAGCAGCTTAGAAAGGTCAGAACAGGTTGAAGAAATTGGAAGGCTGCAGCTAAGGGGCTTCTAAACAGCACAGAAGAGATGGAAATCACAACTGAGCTAGTACCAGTGGGAATGCTGATGAGGAGACAGGTACAGTTAATAGTCCATGAACAGACAGGCATGGGGCAAAGGAAGAGGGTCAAAACTACCAATATGTTCATAAACTGGGGAAACATGAGGACAGCAGAGGCATTACAGAAAAAGAGAAAGCAGACGGAGTAGGTGTCAAAGAAGGTAGTGACCTTCATATTGGGTATTTTGCTCTTAAGGTGCCTAGCACCAGGCAGTAAGATCTCACAGGCATTTAGAAATAGAACACCAGGGGGATCAGGACAGGGAGTGGGAGTTCTTAGTATATGGACAATAGCTGAAACCAAAGTTGCAGCTGAAGCTGTTCAGAGAATAGGTATGATCAGAAAAGAAATTGCCAGAGACATCAACTTTTACCATGGGATGGAAGAACGAGAACCCTGAAAGGACCTGAGAAAGATCAGTCAGAAACGTAGCCCCAGGAAACAACCGAAAACATATTATAAATGTCTAAGGTGAACGGTTTCAAATGATGGGCAAAAACCCAAAGGAGATACTGGAGCAGGAACATAAAACGTAAGGACTGAGATGAAGAAACCAGACTTTGCCATTAGAAAGCCTAGGAAGGACATGTTCATTGGGTCTGGTGGGGCCACATCTGACAATAACAGTTGGAGTATAACAGGAGTAAAAGTATAGCACTGGGTATCTTTCAGTCTCTCAAGAAGCTTGGTAACTAAAGGAAGGATAGAGTGATGTGGTGGCTTCAAGGGCAGAAAGTATTAAAAGAAGTTTCTTTAGACTCCAGGATGCTTAAGAAAATACAAGATGTGTCAATGTAATTAAGATGACTATTCTAAAGAAAATTTCACTATATCAAAATTTTTATTATGCTCCGGATAAAATCATGCGCTCTTCAGAAATACCTGACATCAAATATGACAAGAATAACAGAAGAATTAGTGAAGCTACTTGGAGTAGGATATGAGATTTGTAAAATTAGAGTATTTTTCAGGGGAAAAAAGACTTAGAAACCAGAGGAAGGTGCAAAGTTCAGTACAGTAAGTGCACACTCATATGTCACGTAACAACGGAAAACAGAAATTTACCTTCTGCCAGTCGTTGTTTCCACCCTTGTGCTGCATATGCAAAGAATTCGTTATTTAGAGCTGAAGTACTGAGGCGTAAAATTCCATCACTTCCCATCTAGGAAATAAGCCGACAAAAACAAATTCCATCAGAAATAATTCAAAGTAAAAGTATGCAGGAGAGAAGTAAAAACTGAGAGGTGATGGTGGTGTGTGCGTGTGTGTGTGTGTGTGTGTGCGTGCGTGTGTGTGTGTGTGCGAGCGTGATGCTGTGCTGTGTGAAAGAGCTGGAGCAGGCGAGTAGGGTAGGAGGACAAGAGGAAAGGAACCCAACAGAAGATAAATCTACTAGGATAAAATCTGCATTCATTCTGCTTGCTGATGTAGGGGAAAGAAAAAATTAGAATGCTGTCCTTCACTGGTTTTTATGCATTTGGGGAGTGAGGATAAAACACATAAAAAATTAAACAATATCAAACATTAGGTGAGTGCAAAATCAAGTAATGCAAAAGGGAAAAGCTAGGGGGCAATGTCTAGAGAAACCATAGTGCTTATGAAGGAGTTGATTCGACAGCTGGTTGGTGCAGGCTCATGAGAGATTAATAGAATTTGGATAGAGTGGTTACAGATCAAAGTACAGAGAGTACTGTCAGAGAGCATGAGCTTGCTTTATCATAAAGGCTGGATATCATAAATAATCGGTTACTTAACCATTTATAAAAGTATGAGAATATATTAATCTTGTACCCAGTGGCCTGGCAAACTATAGTCCCAACTAGGTTTTCTCGTGTGTGTGTGTGTATGTATATATATATGTATGTATATATATGTATGTGTGTATACACACATATATATGTATATTTATATTTATATAAATAAAATTCATATATCTTAAGCCCTAATTACTGACATTACCTGAAAGCACATTTGGAAATTTTTTTTCCAAAATACATTCGATTACTGTGTATCATTACAGCTTGCAAAATGAATTTTCAAAGCATAAATAACTCTATATAAGTCCAGTTAAACATACTATACATGTTATCATCAATAGAGAATTTTTCCATTTTTGTATTCCTTAAACGTTTTGCTTCTTTTTCCCCTTGATTCCATGTTTTGATTTGTTTCTTCTCAACCCTCTATCTTCACCAACTGAAATACTCTCTTCTAAAATTTAAGTCAGGGACCAGCAATTGGCATAATGACTGTGTCGCTGGACTCTCATGTAGTCGACTGTGGTTCGAGTCCTGGACCCGGTGACTTAAACTCACGCCAGGTGTGTGTGTGTGTGCATGCCCAAGATCCCAAGAAGAAAATGGAGGAGAAGGGATTGCAGCATGGCCATCCCCTGGGGTGTGATTTCTCACTTTCTGTCTCTCTGTCTCTCTCTCTCTCTGTCTGGTGAGCACAAGCACCCTATAGCAAAAACCTCGCAAAAAAAAAATTTAAGTCAAATAATATCTTCATTCTAAACCACCATTCAGGAGCAAAGGAAAGTACTGAATCTAAGAGTAAATGTTGTGTTCTAAACTGGATAATCCCAATCAAACCCAGAAAATAGAGACATTGGCAAAAACAAACAAAAACAAAAGCAAGGTATGCTGATTGCTGACATGATGATAGCTATCGGGAGGCCACAGATTTGAGATCCCAAGTTTTTTAGATTTCAAGCAAGATTTCATTCATTCATTCATTCACTCATTCATTGTTTACTCATGCTGTTATCTCATCTTTGTTCAACAAATACTTATTAGTTAATTCATCCATCTTCAATATACACTTACTAAGCCACCCACAGGACACTTGTGTGGGTGCTGGCACTACAGTGACAATAAAGATAAGGTACTTATTTTTTTAATTAAAAAAAATTTTTAGAGAAATTTTTGCAATAGGGAATGTGTGCTTTCCAGAGAGAGAGAGAGAGGGAGAGAGAGAAAGAGAAGGCAAGAAATCCCCCCCACAGGAGGGATGGCCATACTGCAATCCCTTCTCTATTCTCCTCTTGGGATCTTGGACACACATACACATGTGCTCAGTGTGAATTGTAAGCCACTGGATCTGAGACTCAAACTGAATTTGACTACGTGGGAGTCCAGCAACATAACCATTATGACATCTGCTGATCCCAAACAGGGTCCTTACTCTTATATTCTGAATACATTGTACACAGAACAGGTGCCCCCTGTCATTTAACCCCCTTTCCCACTTGGGTTCCAAAAAGGCTGTGTATACAGTTGCATCACTATGTCAGAGTTCCTCCTCAAAGGCTTACCAAGCCCCAAGATGTGAGTGAAAATGCCCGCCTTCCCACTCTTTGACTGAACAATTCTAGGACACTATCTCACTGAAAATAGTTTATACACCAAACCAACAGATGCTCTTTGGCACTGTGTCCTTAATGGCTAGACTACGTGGTTCTGGGAACTAGGATGGAATGAATGAACCTTCACACTATCAGTCCCACGGACCCACTTGCAAAATCTGCATGCCTTGTCCCCATAGATCTAGGCTCTGTAGAATTACAATTCTAGGTTCCCATGGGAGAATCACTTCTATTAGAGCGGGTTTTCTCAACCTTGGCACTATTGTCATTTGGGGATACATGATACTTTGCTGTGAGGGGATGCCCTGTGCACTGCAGGATGTTTAGCACCGTACCTGGTCTCCACCTACTAGATACCAGTAACAATCCCTTCTTCAAATGTGAAAACAATTTCTCTAAATATTGCCAAATGTACTTTGGGGGCAGAATCATCCCCAGTTGAAAACAGCTGCACTGGATAAGGGATAAAGCAGCCTGGTTAATCCATGCCTCTCCTACTGTAGGAACAGCAAGTAAAGAGGCGAGTTATTGGACAAATGAACTAAGCCTTAACCATCACGCTGCCAGAGACCAGCAGTTAGCATAATGGCTATGTTGCTGGACTCCCACGTAGTTGACTGCGGTTCAGGTCCCGGACTCGGGGGCTTAAACTCACGCCGGGCGCGTGTGCGTGCATGCCTAAGATCCCAAGAGGAGAATGGAGGGAAGGGACTGCAGTGTGGCCATCCCTCCTGGGGGGTGTTTTCTTGCTTTCTGTCTCTCTGACTCCGTCTTTCTGGCGAGCGCATGAGCCCTATAGCTAAAAACCGGCGAGCGCATGACCCCTATAGATAAAAACCCCCCCACAAAAAAGGAAAAAAAAAAAAAAAAAGCAAAAACCATCACGCTGCCAGAAGCAAGGCAAAGACAAGGATGTTGGGAACACTGAGGAACCCCTGGGGGATCTCTTGGTGCTTCTGTGCCTGGTGGCATCAAGAGCAAGGATCACAGCAATGGTGACCCAGAAGAGGGAAGTAGCCAAGGGCTCCAACTCTTCAGAAATGGCATCTGGATCATTCCTCAAAGGAGAAGTGCTGGTCAAGGGTGAGGGAAATCAGGAATGGGTGTTGAAAGAGGGACATGATGAACTGCAATCACAGCCTCAGGACCAGCTTGAGACCAGTGCAGTTTGTAGATGGTCCACTCATTCTCTGATCACAGACTTCTTCTTTTGAATTTTTCCTTTCCAGTATATCATCATCAGCCACTCCTTCAAGAGTGAGTACTGGAGTGGTCTTACCGTGAGGTACAAGATCTGAGGGCTACAGCAGACCGAACCAGGCATTTGATGCCCCATCCCCACTCTTCCAGTCCATGTGAGTGCAGGGCAGTTGGAGTAAGCAGTTCAATGCACTGGTCCTGTCCAAGCCTATAAAGTTCTAGGTCTTTTGCTGAAGTACAAAGGCCTTTGAGGTGCTCTGCAGGGGCAGCCTAGAAATGCAGAGCTAGGGGCAACTCGAAATCCACAGGAGACAAGAGTCAGTAGGAAAAGATCCCACTCTCCTGTTGTCCTTCAGTGGGACAACTGTGTGGCTCATTCTACATATTTTCTCTCAGGGGCCTCAATACAGCTGAGCCTCAGCTATCCGGCAGGTTTCTCCGCTCCCTGTCTCACACTATCTAATCACGAGAATGCTATCTGTAGCAAGTTCTCCTTCATGTCACACACTGCTTTGGGAGATCTGGAACTGGGGTAGATTCTCGGTAAGACTGAGATTCAAGAGTTTGGGCATTATCCTCCACATGGGAGTGGTAGGTAACCACGAGGCTTGAGGTTAATGGTCTTTGGCTTTAAGGATCCGCCTCAGTTTTATCCCCACATATTTAGGATGACTTTTTTTGAAGTGAATCACAATTGGGGCAAATTGTGAAGTACTGGGTAATGGGAAACTGCCCACAGTATTAAAACCTGGCAAAGACCTAAAAAGACTTATATTTAAGAAGATGATTGCAATAGCTGTGTAAAGGGTTGGACAGAGAAGGAAGGACAGCTATAGAAATATCACTAAGAAGAATACTGGAATATTAGTCATGATGATAATAGAAAAGCACATCTTGGGACCAGCAGTTGGCGTAATGGCTATGTCGTTGGACTCCCACATAGTCAACTACGGTTCGCGTCCTAGACCTGGTGGCTTAAAACTCATGCTGGGCATGTGTGCGTGCATGCCCAAGATCCCAAAAGGAAAATGGAGGAAAAGGGATTGCGGCGTGGCCATCCCCCCCGGGGGGTGATTTCTCGCTTTCTGTTTCTCTGTCTCTCTGTCTGTCTGGTGAGCGCATGCACCCCATAGCAAAAATCTCTCTCGAAAAAAAAAAAAAAAAGAAAAGCACATCTTAAAATCTCAGGACTAAAGAAGGTCTTCAAGACTGAAGAATTAAAGACACTGAGGGAATATTTCAGGAGATCCAAAACTGCTCTGGGTAATTCTGGGAGATGGGGTGAATGAAAAAAGATAGCTGACTTTAACTGCAAGTTTTCAAGAAACATTATCAAGGAGGTCAGTAAAGACAAAAAGGATGAGAAAAAGACAGCCATCTGAATGATATGCCTCTAAGAAATTTGAAATTTTTCTGCAAATGTAGACTCTGAATATATGTCCTTGTGGATTAGAAGCCCTGAGAAAAAGCAACCTATTTAAAAAGATTATAAGGGAAAAGATATTCTTACTGCATAAAAGGATTTTCCTCCCCTAGGGAGAGATTTTTGCTAGAGGGCACTTGTGCTTGTAGGAGAGAGAGAGACAGAAAGTGAG